GACCAGTTATTTGTTATTCTCTCAAGCGATGATGTACCACGCTTACTGTCCGACTACTGAAAGGAGCCAAATTATGAAGTGCATCGAGAAAATCATATAATTTTATAATGTAGCAGAAACATTATGCTCATGGTACGAAAAAATGCTGACACGAAACGCGAAATGTACTAAAGCCCACTCCACAAATGAGTTGAACACTATAGGAAACCAAGACATTTGCTATGAAAATATTGGATAGCGGCCAAATAACAAACATGTGTGTGCATTAAAACCATTTCCAGTAAAGACTCCGTGGTCTTTATAATCCTGGGCAATGGGAACATGAACGGAAGACGTGAGGGAGTGCACTGATAACACCAAACGTTTAAAGGGACTTTGCCCCAGCCGCTGCTCGTACACCCTTATTGAATAATGGAAGGAGTTTTAAATTGATACCTTTGGGAGACACTCCTGAACCGAGAGTAGATTTCCAATCATGTCGCTCAGACTAAAACAATCCTCCAACTTCAAGGAAACGGGTCGGAATTCATGACCTGTTTCTGAGCTCCCCACTGCATTTCCCTTCAACATTTCAGAATGCCCAGTAGTTTCTTTTAATGATTTTTCAGCGTTTTATAAAGAGGTCATAGCAAGTCAATGCTTCTCCAACCCACGTGCAGGACCATGTTGAGCACTTCGATCAAAAACTGAGCAACTCAAGAAATGGTAACTCCCGTAAAGGCTGAATGACGTACAGCAAACTCACAATCGAACGAATCTCGAAATCAAACTGACCCGATTACACATATGTAAATTGCGCCACATTGCTGTTTCGATATGGAATATGATTGACAATCCCAACTCATTTCCAACACATCGTCATAAAAGTGAACTCCGATTTATTAAGAATTCTGTGGGTAATGAAAAACATTGCTCACCAAATCACTCAAAACAGTGAGCAAAAACCAGCATCAAATAATGGCTTCACAAAGAAGAACAATTACCAACCCATTCAAAGGCTAAAAAACCGATAGAAGATAATTTTCAAACTAAAACAACAAATCGCTGCATACTTCAAAAGTAGTCACCCAGGATATACAATAAACAAACTATAAATAATTCTCTTTCAATAATAGAAAAAAATACCACAACAATCTAAGTAGTCAAGAACAGGCAGAAAAAAAAGGAACATGTTAATTACAACCATGTACAGTATTATATTTCAGACCAGAAATGATAACAGCATACTGAATGAATTTAATGAAGAAGAATAAAGCAACTCTTTTTTAGAGCAAATTTTACAAAAACAAGAAATTTCTATTTAGGCTGTTGCTTTATTTACGCACACCATGAACATATGCACGCGGTTGTCGACGTTCATGGATGTCATTCGTCTTGTGAGGGGGGGGGGGGGGGCGACATGCAACTGACTCCATCGACGCAGATCTTGCTTGTGATCTAGGAACCCAACGGTTTTAGTGACTGAATTTTTACACTTCGAAGCTTCAAAAAAGATAGATTTCATTAACAACATTGATTAAAGAACAGACTGATTCGTTGGTATTGATAAAGTGAAAAGGTTATTGATCGAGAAACGAACCAGGGCCAACAACTTATTGAAAGCTTTCCTAACAAGCAAGAGGGTCGTGCCTATGATTTTTGAGTGGGGATCGTATTTGATTTTCTCGAAAAGAGTCATGCTGATGGAAGAAATATACTAACCTGAGATGGACGGACCGCAATGTAAATCAACTGTTACGGAGTGGCTGCTTCCCACTTTCACCGTATTTTAAATGAGGCGTTTGGAGGCGTATTAGGCATCGAGCAGGTTCAAAACCATATTACGACACCATGGAGGGGGAGGGGAAGAGGGTGTAAAATTTGAAAAACGGCACAAGTGCATGTTTGTTCATACTTCAATAATGAACAAGAAATTCATCGAGAGGCAATTCAGGTGCCGCCGAAGACGTTTTTTAGCTCTTCTGAATTCTACAGCTAGCTCGAAATCGATAACAATAAACAATAACCATGAAAAAGGGTGGGCACTGTTTCATACCTTATCGATAAAAAAATGTAGTTATTGGAAAACGAAAAAAACACATAAAGCAGCTTGTTAGTTATATAATGTAGACTCACTCCCTGATCGATCGTAATCAGGTCGTTTTCTCAGCTCGCAACTATTCAGGGCAATCGCATACCGACGCATCACATTACGATCTGGAGGGGGAATGTCCATATCGAGCAGTGAGCGACTTTTGGCCGTATTTCTGTCGCTCTCGCTTCCGTTAACCAGACATCGATCTCGTTGTAAGCCTTCATCAGCCAACTGCGAGTTGTCCCGAATACAGTCGATCAGCGATATTGCAGTTGATGTTTGCTGCGCTTCTATTCCATTTATGCACATGTCCAGCAACGATGGAATCTTGTCCTTGACGCCGGTGGCTAAATGAATCTAACATTGCGCGCGAACTGTTAGCGCTCCGCCAATGAAAAGCCCAGAAAAGACATGCACAGAAGAAATTGCAACGACGGGCAACATGGACAACTACGCAACCGGTCCCATTTCCTCTGCTGTTGATGGCTCGATGACTTCCGCTGAGGTGATTTGATGTCACGTTTGGCACTGTGATCCGTTTCTCGACTTGTTTCTTGCTCTCCTCTCCTGGGCGATCCAAAATGGGAAGAACCATCCTTCGCTGTTGAAGGGGATCTTTTAAAAGAGTCAATCCTTCTCAAAGGAGACGAGGTTTTGCTATGTTTGGCAGGTCCGTCCGATTTGTCGCCATTTCCTTCAATAAGTTGGGACCTACGCTTTGTTGGATCAGTGTCCATACTCGACGATCTGTGCTTCGTCGTCGATGCATCACTGCTGCCTCCCTTGGAACTAGCCCGAGGCTCCGATGTTGAAGCATCAATTTCTTCTTCGTCGACCTGACACCAACCGCCAGCTAACGGTCCCCGCACGGAAATAATCTCCGCGTCTTCTTTCGTGGTCTTTTCCAGACGGTCTGAATGACCTGACGTAGACGGTCGAGCTTCTCTTGACGAAGCACGTTTTCGAGCTCACCCCCCCCCCCCACCCCCTCTTGACGAAGCACGTTGCCGGTCGTCCCTATTTCTTGATCCGTTCTGATGTGCTCTTGAAATATCGAGTCGATCTGTGTTCACTTCGATCTACATAGCGATGATGACGTCGTGCTTCTAAAGTGGAAAATCATCTGTTTTACACACATCAAAAAACGCTCCGTGACCATAATTCGTCTGTAGTTGTTGGATGAGCTCTTAAATCTACCATCTCGTCGATCACCATTGACGACAGTTCGATAACTTCCAGTAGACACGCCATTTTTCCCTCCATCTCCACGATTCGAAACACCATTAGTTTTTGTGACTTCGGGCTTTGGAGGTGAACTGATAATTTCAGGCGACTCATGTTCGTCAGCGAAGAGGACGGCTTTGGTGGCGGCAGCGGCTCGCCTCATGGCATCGACATCTATCTCCTCACAGAGGTCAGGAAAATCATCGTCGCCATTAGATGCGCCGTGAATTCTTGGCAGCATACTGGCATCGTCGAGATCATCGTCCTCTCTAAAATGAAGCAGCTCAACAGTGAAAAATATCCGTACTGGCTGTATTAACTTAGTGGCCAGGCAACAAATTTTTCGTGACTAAAGATGAAAACTAAAGTCGAATTCCATCAAAGCAAAACGGTTAGAGCCGGTGTTTTGAAACTTCGTTCCCAATCAACTACTTCATCATTTAATAAAATGTATTTAAATTTTCACACACCCGGATTGAGACTCGCCTGTACCGGAAGCACCGTCAGTGAACTCATCATCACCTACTTCGTCGCCTGAAAAGGACGGTAGGTAGTGGATTACCTTTTTGAAGATTAACAATAAATATCTGATCAATGAGCACTTACAACAGTCCACCTCCTCTAGTTCTTCGAATGGAATATCTTTTTCATCATTATCTCCCTTATGTCGGTGAGTTCGGTCATGGGACGAATCTCGCGTATGCCTGCGCGGCGACCTCTACAAAAGGAATAGCAACAGACATTTGATGAGTACTAGTTCAACAACATGGGATTTAAAAAATATATACGTTACTATGCTACCGCCACTAATAGCACAACTCATAAAAGTTGCAAAAGAGCGCGTTCACAATGCGGCTACCGTATCAGCTTATAGCAAAGACATAAGCAAACCCCCTCATTATCCCAAGAAGGAGTTTTCTCGAGCATTCTTGACTCATAAAGGTTATTACAGCAACCACGATGACTAAATCCGCAACAATTAGTTATTTATCTTCGTACCCATTTTATCCAAGACAAATATTCACTCCACAATTCCTTCAGAAAGGTTATAACAACTACCTCACGTGACGATCGATTTCTGGAACTTTTGTGACGATCATCATCACTGTGTTTACTTGGCCGATACGTATCGCGAAGACGTCGTCCACGAAATGCCCCTCGATAAGGATGATAACGATCGAGACGATACTACAAAGTTGAGAATCATAAGCAGAACCCAAGAAAAAATCACTTTACAAAAACGTAAAGACCACAGGCAATAGTCCCCACCTTCTCAGGTATATCAGAATGCTTTCTTCTTTCGCGCGAATGTCTTTCTCTACGTTCATGATGCCTTCGCTCACGGCGTTCTTCTTCAGCAGCTTCGTCAACACATTCCAGTTCATCAATGTCAAAATCTTCCTCTTCATCTTCCGCATCACAGTCTTTCTATAACGGGAATGATAAAATAAAATCATCACAAAATGTAATGACTATGACCAGACTTAGTCAACATCAGAACCACGAATATTTTACAATCATACAAGTACTGAAACAAATGGAAAAACCAGCTGCATAATCCAGTTCTGATGGGCTAATGTTTCGCGTGACCCGGGGTGTGCAATGACCGAGTGAATGAGACCTCTTTCATTCATGGCCGATGCACTTCGATGATAGAAACAAAATCGAATCATGGACAGCAGCTAACTATTTCCAACACCGCGAGCACAAGTAGGAGGAGAAAGGAGAAAGGGAAAGGAGAGATCCTACAGACATACTCGCCGCTGAGTACTGCACCACAGAAACCATCAGAAACCATCACAAAAGACGTCCTCCCTGACCGCTACCACTCTAATTACGGTACTAGTAAAAAGAACAATTTCACACTCTTCGCTCGATATAGAGGAAGTTTACGGATTGGAAGGTGATAGTCCACTTTCGGTGATAAACTGAAATCATGATCAAAAAACTCTATACCTTAGATGTTTCTCCATCGCCATTGCCAGTTAGTGGGCCGACGCTAGCGCACATTCCGCCTTCCTCCTGGAACGTTTAGAGGTTTAAAACGTGTATGTCGATGAAAAATATACTAAAAACAAATAGACTGATTGTTCATGGCAGGAGGTTCGCCATACTAACTCCTTCCAGGGTTTCACTTGTTTATGTGAAAACAGGTATCGCAGTATCTCCTATGCAATCATTTAATAACTTTTCATATTATTGGAAGGCGAACAAAGGTTCATGAAAAGAATATTCAATGTACACAAAATACAGAAGACCCGTTCAGGTAAGGCACTCAACGTAACTGTCACAATAAGCACAACCGTAGGTTAACGACGAGTGAACTAATTCTTAATAACAGAACAAAAAAGGGACGCGCCCTAAATTTCGCAACTTTGGCCCAAAATAATAAGAAAAGTAGAACGTAAGACAGCGAATACTACTCGGGTGTGATCATGACACAATTGGAACATGGGAAAAACTGCCCTCTACAGCGTTGAATAAAAGGATGCAGGATTGGATATGCAACATTGGATATAGTATGTTTAGTTATCCCTTTTAGGACACGCCACGTATTCTACTTCTACAGGATCGTAGTTGCACTTAAGACCTAGGATAAGTTAATGTGAAACTGACAGTTGGGATCAGTCAATGTGAAAGGTATTTCGTATCCTTCTAGACGAGTCTGGAACCAATTATATCCGTCCTTGAGAGATGGTAGACCAAGAAGGCTTGGCGAACATCGAGCCGCGATTTCACCTCGTGCTGTGCGGATGGTAGGCGGCACCACGTTCCACCAAACTACCTCCGCTCTAACATTAAATATGGTTACGAAAAATAAAGGAACTGAAGGAACTAGGCCTATTTACTGCCGACGAATGGGTAGTTGCCATACAACTGCAATTAGAAGCAGTCGTCATCATACCATGGCTCATCAAATTTGATGACTCAAACAATTTCGACCTTGCTTCCCTTTGCAAATACGATCTCTAACCATATAACTTACGATATAATATCAACTGGCGAACATTTGAATCGTTTATATCACCGAAACATTCATTAAAACACATGTGATTTTGATGGATTACCGAAATTATGCCGCTGAAAGCAGCACGGTAAGTTGAATGAACGTGCAAGAACTTTAACTAGGGATTCTAGAAGACTTCAGCAAAGCGCACTACTATTAATAGCTTTTACAGCTTCTTTTTCAGAAACCCTACAAGTGTACACTATTGTCATTTATAACTGCCCATCCATTGATCTCGTATCCTCTACTACAGCATATAAAAAGACCGATTGTCAAAAAATGGATTTAAGAACAACGGATGCGAAAAGGACCACTCTAGTTAAGCAGTGCAGAAGAGCAAAGAAAAAGCACTCACTGCTGATCACGAAAGAAAATATCGACAAGTGAGGCAATTCGTGGACAGCACTATTATCGCAAAAACTAACCCGTTCACGACAAAGAAAACATCACACGACAAGCGATGTAATCAAATCTGACCGTAATAGATATCAGATATGAGGCGTTCCCAATGAAAAACGACGCAAAGGCGTTTCTTATGTCCATTCGCTGAATCAAGCAAACTGGAGAGAACAGCGGGGATGATAATACCTCACCTCGCATCGAAATACGAATCTAGTCACCAAGACGTTGACGAACTAAGCGAGGTGTCCTGCACTCGTAACCACAGATAACCGTTCCTCCCAAATGGAGCATCATGGAAAAAGTAATTCTCAAAATCCATCCGAATAACAGGTCCTCGTCAGCACTATAAAACCATTTTGCCCGAGCGCTGTAGCTTGATGGCGGTCATTGTGTCATTTGAAGACTGCTTTTGGTGTTACCGGACTAACGTCAGTCCGCGTCGCTGTGCGCAGTGTCAAATAAAATAAATAAGAGGCAATCCCTCAGTGTCCGCCAACACCGCGACATACAGTATTGCAACGGTCATACGCCTGCCGAGATTGAGTACACAGACCATTTTGTCACTGGATACTCCGTCGTCGCTCAAACCCTCGAATGTCGAAGCAGCCTCTTCTACAGCAGCAACCAAGCCGAAAAAACCTCAGACCGCACCAAACAGCTTTCATTCTCATAGAAGTCCTCACTGTTTTTTATTGGTTCCTCCGTCCTTGTGTTTGGAGTGGCCTACTGTAGAATTGCTCAGGTGATGACTGTTTATCACCTTTTATGATAAACTTGGACACAATCATTGACATATAAGACATCCTTCACAGTCTCATGCTCAATAGTTCGGCGTCCGAAATTTTGAAATACCGCGAGATGAAAGGAAATAAAGTAGAGATCGACAGTCAATCACGTGAACTCCATACATGTCTTAGGCGGACTATTGTCCAGAAAGAAAATTCGCATATCTCATCAGAGTGGTCCATCGATGGCATGCTGCTTAACAACCACATCGAGATTTAACAAAGCGACATGTTATGCATCGCAACGAATGTTTGGGCAACAGCAACGTATACGCCGCTCACTGCCAGGCGCCATGAAACGAAAGCGCAGGTTAAAGATCAAAGCCAGAATGCCAAATCTGCAGCCGAGCCTCGAAGCATTCCATCTTCCGAAATCGGTCAACCACTTTTGACGGTGTAACACACAGGCACGTCAACTGCCCATCACGGTTGCTTGTGCATTCCAAGTCGCTTTCGAATGACACGGCAACTCCGAATAGAGAACAGTGAAAGCACATTCCAAATTGATCAATCAGCTTCCAGTCCACCATCAATTCGCAATATGCAGTGACCGGTGTGGCCAGAGTGAGTAGCAGAGATTTTCGGCATAGAAATAACGGAAGACGTCACAAAGAAATGAAAATTGGAATTAGTGGGAATCTAACTGCTTGTTATCACCAGTTTGGATTCCAGTGCTGATTACCGGGCACAATTGACAGTCAGTGAAACTGCTAATCTGCCAGTTAATACCTGCCACGACTGGCAATTTGTCCTATTCACGGACAACCCCAGCGCACTTTTGAGCTACTCCAATCGCTTTGAATAACATGAGCGGCCCTGCACCATAGTTTACGACACTAAGGCAGACCATAGTGGAGTTCAAAAAATAGTTGTGGTACTACTTGGTCCAAGAATGGGGAAGAAACCGAAGGAAGACTCTGTTTTCAATGTTGAACGCTGATAAAGCCGCGCCAAGACGAATCGCGCTAAGACGAAAAGTGCGAAGAAGAGACTGCCACATCGAGGCTCAGCCAGCCACGCCCATAGCGAGGCAAAATAATTGGTAGAGAGGATGAAGTGCGGTTGGGACCATGAAATTCTAATCCACTTTTGCAATAACAACGCTATGCATCGCTTCTTGCCAAACATACAATACGCTATACTGGTACATATTTCCTCAGCATATCCCCAGGTATCAATATTTACGTAGTACGCAAAAAATAAGATATGAGAAGCTCGGCTCAAAAACCATGTCAGGCGCTGTATATCTAAGAACTGGAAAGGGGTTAGCACATTGGCGCAATATTTGTTGTGAGCACCACAAATGCCAACTTGGCTTTTGATCGCAGCTTTTTCTAGCAACAAAAGTTCTTTAGAGCTAGTGAAGGTGACGATTCAGATCCTTACGCAATTTTGCTGATTTTTTTTCGTTATACAAAATTTGTGACCGTCTGATCGAGAGAGAAGTTGAGAGCATTTCAAAAGAAGAACAGCTTCGAGAGGTGAAAAAGTTACCCAAAGGTACAAACGGGGGTGCGTTGGTACAGAGCACCCAAGGTTGGCCAGAGGTGAAAATTTTGCCTAAGGCCTAGTGGAGGGGAACCATTAGTGCATAAAATCATTTCTCACGCAATGCGAGAACCCTT